GTCTGCTTCCATAAAGATGTATAGGCCTCAAAAACCCTACAGGGGCAATTGTCTAATAGGGTGACTATGAGTCAGAATCAACTCAACAGCTGTGGGGGGTTTTAGAGGCACCTTGGAAGAAAGACCTGGTGGTGTGCTTCCCAAAAGTTCTGGCCTCGCAAATCCTATGCAGCTATGCTAGTCTCCATCACCTGAGTCAGAATCAGCCGGAAGGCAACTGGTCTGGTCGCCTCAGGCACTTGCTTGTCATGTGAAACTGGAATACAATTGGGCTTCAGGAAGAGAAGCAAGCCAGCCTCGGGTACATCATCACCACCATTGCTTCTAATTGGAGGTTGACTTGCCTGGCTTTTGACAAGAAGCTAGCTCAGTTCACCCACAGGGACATGCCCTCCTAGCTCAACCAAGGTCCCAGCTGGCAGCCCAGCCTGGGAGGGGGCGCAGGAGCCGTGAGGGGCTCTGAGGACAGCTGAGGAAGGCACCGCCCTGAGTGCTGCCTAATTCATCTGACATGGGGACATGCTGCTTCAGACACCAGATAACAAGTAATAGAAAACAGCTGTTCCCACAGCCCCGCCAAGCAAGTTGCAGGGTCTCAGCTGGGGGCACCTTTTGGGGGGGGGCCATGCTCCTTGAGAGGCTGAGACTCTTGTTTTTCTCAGGTGGAAGGAGAAATAGTTAAGAAAGTCCCTTCATGATAGAAAAAAATGTGCCCCAGGCATAGCACCTGTCCTCTGTGCCAGGAGCTCAGTGACGGGTCTTTGAGAGCTGCCCGAGGCCTCTGAGCCCCGCTCAATGCCAAATTCACCTCCAAAACCTACAAAGCTCTGTCCGGCACGTGGTGAGTCTTAACAGATAACATCTCTAATCAAGGTGCTCAAGAGTGGTCTGGTCTTATGAAAATCATCTGGCTTAGGGCCATCCTTCTATCTTCTCTTTCTAATTTGCCTGCACACATGCTCTCCTGTCAGTCGAAACATTTAACACAATTCCATTAGGTCTGTGTTGCCTTGTGACAACTTGTTCAGGTTGCTCAAAGCCAGAAAGCCTGTAGAGGCAGAAAGCTGCTGGCAAACCAAGCTGGCTGTACCCATGTGCTCGCTCTCTCTACTCCTCTCTAAGCATCACTTTCTGACATCCTTGAACTAAGCTTTTACAGAAGTCACGGAATCTTTCGAGAATATATGAAAAGCTACAGATTAGTTCACAGCCCCCCTCCCTCTTCCAGCCATGCATAATACATCAACGTCTGCATGTAAATTCAGGGTGTCACCATCCTCAAAAATCCCATTCACAGGCTCTCCTTCAGTCCCTGAGCCCCAGGATCAACCGTCCCCCATAGACACCAGCCCACATAAAGAAGCTGTTTCAAATCACCTCTCCAGATCTCATCATCTCGCAAGCAACTGGCCGGGCAATCTGATAGCTTGTCCAGGTTTTCATTGTCCCCATCCATCCTCCGTCCAATATCCGCCAGGCATGGGAACCCCCCCTGGATGCCTATCTTCAAGTTGCATTTCTCCTTTGGAGCTGGGCCCCGGCCTCCCTTTGAGCCATTTGGTCAGATCCACACCTGGGCCTGGCAGATGGGTGCTAAGCCACCATGTTAACCACTTTCGTGCCAGTCCCCTCCCCGAGCCTTGGCAGAATACCACACGGCCCCACCTGTAAAGGTGGTGAGTGCTGTGTGTCATGGAACTTGGCCAGGAGATATAGCAGTCTTGTTGCTCTTGGCATCCGTTCGGGATTCTGTGTAGACCTGCATGCCGAGCTGTCCCCACATGGGCAGCTTGTCAGCACCAGAGTCCACCACCCTGTAGCCAGCCCGCCCAGGACCTTCTCATCACAGCAAACCAAGTCCCTTAAAAGGGGTCACTTGGCCCACCACTCAGCAAAGGAAACAAGTCCTCATCATTGGCTCTGGAATCATTCCTAGACCATGCCCTTGCAACATGCCCCACCGAGCAAGGATGAGCCGCTGTCAGGACAAACCAGGTGGCCCATCGCTCAGCCCCTACGAATTCCCAGCAGGGCCTTCAATCCAGGACTGTCAATAACCACAGGTGCCAACAGGAGGCCCCCACAGGACATCCTAGGACTCACTTCCAGAGGCCCTTGAGAGAGTGAAGAAAGAAGGACAAGGCAACTTGTGACCAAAGGGAACCACAGCTACCTTACACACACACACACACACACACACACTCCCAAGGTCAGCTATGCTGGAAAACCCCACCTTACCTTTCATCCCAAACTTGGATCGCCGACCATACTTATTGATCATGATGAAGAGGACCACCAACAGGACACAGGCAAAGGCGGCGAGGCCAACAGCTATGGATACCTGCCAGAAGCCAACAGCAAACCATCAGAAGCAGACCCGGAACACAGGGGAGCTACGCAAAGCCAGGGGCGTATGAGATGGGAGCAGTCCTGTTGCTATAGCAACTTGGCACTCTCAGAACATGGCTACTGAGAAGACTTCAGAAGGAATCTGTGGGCGCCTAAAACTTTAGCTAAGAATATTAAAATGGGGGTGGCAGGGAGCAGTAGTGATCCTGGGGCAGGGCTCTCATCTTCCTTGAGGGAGCCTGAGGTTGATTCCAGGCCAAAGCCACCCATGCTCAGCCAATACCCATGCACCAGTGGAGGCTTGCGTGGTGCTACATGGCCAAACCAGCTTCAGCAGAGCTTCCAGACTTACAAAGACTACAAAGAAAAGTTTGCTGAGCTGCTGCTGAAAGCCTGCCAACACAAACTCTATGGTTCCCAACTGTGTGACCCCATCAGGCCATGGGATGACGCAGGGCCAGGGAGCATTTACTTCTTTGGCACATACAGTCACCATGAGTCAGGGGCCGCTAACAACAATAGGAACATTTTCTTAAAAAGAAATTGCTCGATTTGATCAGAGCAAATTCCGCAATTTGCTGTTCTGAGAGTCTCTTCCTTTCCCCAAAGCTTCAAACTCATTGCCATGCAATTGATGACCCTGTAGGGCAGAGTGGAACTGTCCCGGTGGGTTTCTGAGATGGCAACCCTTCACAGGAGCACACAGTACTGTCCTTCCCCCGTAGAGCAGTTCTGGGGGATAGTGCAGCTTGTAGCCGGGATGCCAGCAGAGCTCCTCCTCTGACCCTGGGAGATGCAAAGGTTCAAAGGCTTTGCCTCTCTTGTTGGGCTGTCATTTTAATGAGCAAGTAAGTCCTGCATCTTTGTTGACAGTCTTCCCAGAATGCTCTTATCCAGGAGGTCCCAAAACACCTAGACCAAACACATCCACTCCCTCTCCAACCAACAGCCACTCCAGGGAAGGAACCGTGGGGAGTCGCGGAAGTTTTGAAAACCCACCCGAGGAGATGCCCTGAGCAACTTGGACTTTGGCAGAGCCCCACATGGTCAACAGTTCTGGAGCCTCGGGCCCAGTCACTAAGTCTCCTTACGGAGTGGGGATTCTCACCCTGTTTGCTTTGGAAGCCTTGGCTACTACAAGCCTTCCTCAGACCACGCCCCTTTCTCCATCAAACAGGGAGGGTCAGATGGCCTGCAAGGAGGTCATTCGGCCCCACTTCCCTCCTCCACATACAAGGAGCCTTCAAAAACTTCCCAGAGAAATGGAGTTAAAGGATAACGGATTTTTTCCCATGAACTTCTTGGAGCCACCTTGCGTACTGGGATCCAAGTGAGCTGTAACGTTGAAAATGACTACACCGGAATCTGCCATCCTCTTATCCAATAGGGGGCTTACCCCGAATGTGTCTTCCTCGGGCTTGTGGGTCACAGTGACAGGAGGGGTAGGGCTCCCTTCGACAACTGAAAACCAAGCACAGGAGGAGGAGGCTGGTGAGCCACGGCCCCGACCAGTCCCTGCCCGGCCCCGCCCAGTCCCTGCCCGGCTCCCCGAAGGCTCCTGAAGCTGAGCCCTGAGAGACTGACCTCCCAGGCGCTTCTGGAGTCCCCAGAGGCCAGCTGCCTCTCCCGCCGCCCACTTTGTGTCATGATGACCGAGGACAGGTGCCACAGGGAATACACAACCTTCCCACCACCCCCTCCCAGAGTGGACCGTGGCCATGAGATACGGCACAGAGAAGAGGGGAAGGTGTGGGACTGGGGCCAGAGTCTGCATCAGGCAAATTCTTCTGGGGACACAGCTTTCTCAGTCTGGCTCCCCCATGGCTTTCTTCCCCTGTGCTCCTCAGCGGGGCCCAGGAGGCCTGTGGCCCCATGACACTCTCCATCCCCTTAGGCTGACCTCAGGGTCACTGAGGGCGACCCAGGGACCCCTCTGACCAAGGAGAGCCCACTTTGACCCAGTGGGTCGTCTGTCCTCCACCAAGAATCATCTGCTCGGCAAGTGAGGGTGCCAACTCTGAGATATCGGCAGGGACATTCTGTGTGGCACCAAGTTCCCTAAGACTGGAGGACAGGACAGGAATCCCGGGTGAAATATACATCCATGCCAAATGGCGGGGGGTATTCTGAACAAGATTATGAGTCTGCTACATTAGGTCTTGCCCTGGGCAACACTGACAAATATTCTCACTGCCATCCCCACTCTGCACAAGGGACAAAGGAAAAGGAATAAATATACAGCTTCCCCCACTATCCAGGAGTAAAATCCAGTATCCTTTTGTTCAGCCCCACCCCCAAATCACTTATAAATGAAGCCACAATAGGCCCATGTAGGGATACAGAAGGTCCCACTGAACCCTTACGAAAGAGCTTGTAAATGACGGCTCTACATACGAGGTGGGTTCCAGGTACAGTGGGTGTGACGCTCAAAGTCGGAGAGACACCTCTAACAGGCTACAATCTCACATCCTCTCTGCTGTGATAAGCAACAGCGGGCCAGTGGAGCAGGGACACCCCACAGCCCTTTCTACCGGAGGAGGGGCCCCCACCTGGGAAAACATCTTGGGAGAGACTGAGTCACAGAGAGACTGCCCAGGAAGTGTCGATTTGGAAATGCTTCCTCTCCCAGTGAACTCAGGTGCCCCCCACCCGCACCCCACCCCCCCTCCCCTGCCTCCAGTGGCCCAGGTCAGGAAAGGGCGGGACAAGAGGGCTATCTGGAGTCAAAGCGTAAGGTAAAGCAGACTTACAAGGAACGAAGTTGTTGTCCGTGCTCTCTGCAGGGAGAAAGAAGGAGAGAGAATTAGCAAATGTAATAAAGGCTAGGATAAGCATGTGTATCCTCCTAATAGCTATGACCTCTCCCCTCCAGGAGATCACCTGTTACTATGGCAACAGAAAAGAAAGTACCTGGGCACTTCCCCACACATCCCTCTTACCCTGCCCTACCCTCCTTGGAGGGTGCCCCTCAGAGGGGAGGAGAAATCAGAGATAAGGCCTTTGTTTATTAGGGAAATGGCTCCCCTGGGCAGTAGCAACCAAGCTGGTTTCATTAAAAGATGGGGAATTCAATCCAGGCCCATCTTCTCATGAACAGCCCTCCCTCATCCACCCCCACCCAGAGCGCTGGGACAGGGATGGAGCCAGGAGCAAACATTGGGTGTTGCAGAACAAAACTCCTCAGGTGGACACACACAGTCGATTCCAGCGGGCCTCTGCAGACCACTTGGAAATCACCCTAGAATCTGCCCACCCTGTCAGAGCAGGTCCCCCTGGAAAAGGGTTATTGATGTTTGGCCCCTAGAAGTTGCTCACTTGATAAGCCAATCGTGGCTGGACTTTGACTATGGGCCAGAGCCATGCTAATAATGACTCAATCTATTATAGATCATGTAATGATCATGACCACCGTCCCAGGAGGAGAGCATCTCGCCAAAACCCAGGGTCTTCTTGGACATTCAGAACATGGCCCTATCTGGATAGAGGGTCACTTCCAGATGTAGGAGGGGAGTCACAGGAGGGCACACTCCATTCGGGTGGGTCCAGTCAATGTGGCTGGTGTCCATATAAGAAATGGACAAGAGACACGGAGGGACTCTGGCTATACGACAACCGAGGCAGATTGAAATTCTGCTGCCAAAAGCCAAGGGACACCAGGGATTCCCAGGTGCTGGAAGAGGCCAGGAAGGGTGTTCAGAGAGGGTCCTGCCAACACCTTGATTTAAGATTTCTAGCAAGTCTGCCCCACCCCCGCCCTCTAGCTTGTGATGCTTTGTTACGGCCACCATATGAATCTAACAGCATCCTAGGAGGTTGATAGTACTGGCCCCACTGAATAGATAGGTAAACTGAGGTTTATAGAAAGTCATAATTAATTCCATGTCACTCAAATAGGAGCGGGTAGTGCTGTATTTAAATCAAGTTTTAATACGAAAAGAATCACTCAAAGGACTATAAAAGCACAGACGGTGCCGCTCTCCGCAGAGGAACCAGGGTTGTCACTTCTCGCTCTGGGGCAGCAGGGAGGAACAGGCGAGGCCTGAGAGCTCACGGTACCGGAAAGCCAGAAAACCAAACCCAAACCCAAACCCACTGCTACCGAGCTGACAGCAATCCCATAGGGTGGGGCGGAACTGAACCGATAGGTTTCTGAGATGGAAAGTGTTCATGGAAGTAGAAAGCCTTGTCGTTCTCCAAAGCAGCAGCTTAGAGTTTTGAACCGCTGACCTTGTGGTGAGCAGCCCAGTGTGTAGCCCAAAATAAAGGGCATGTGGAGAAGGGCACAGGAGCCAACTTGAAGGGATTCCAAAAGCCAAACTGGGAGTGATAATTTTGTGCACTAAAATAATGACAATGATCGATTAGAACTCACAGGAAAATATAAATAGCAGCCAGGAGTCCTCTGAGGACACAAATCAATGGCCAAAAGGGACGGAGGGAAAAACTTGCCCTTCCGGTTGGATTCCAATGAACAGATGTGGATGGCATGGTCTCAAACCCACTGCCGGTGAGTCGATCCTAACACACAGCCCCCCCTAGATAGAGTTTCTGAGACTGCAGCTCTGGATAGAAAGAGCCAGCCTCATCTTTCACTCAGATCAGCTGGTGGGTTTGAACCACCAACCCATTGCTTCCCCCAACTCTCCCATCAGGGCTTCCTGGATGGTATAAATAGGGAAACCTATTTGGCAATGATGGCAGCCATCATTGTTTCAGGGAGCAATCATCGACGAACAGCAAACAGTGGGTGGAAGATGGATAAGAACCCAGTGTCCACACCAGCATAGTATACTTACTAGGAACAGGAGGGAGAAGCGCATTTGCAGGCAGGGGCCCTGGTGACACTAGATCTCGTCACCAAGTGACCAAAGTCAGCATCACCAGGGAGAAAGTGCACCACCCCCACCCCCGTGCCCCACGGATGAGGATGTGTCTACCCATGGTGCCCCAAGCCCAAAAGTGCATACTCTGAAAATCTTCACTAGAAAATGACAGGCAAACTGAAGTTGAGACCTTCTACAAACTCACTAGTGTCCTCTCCAAAAGTGCCAAAGTCATCACAGACAAACACTCGACAAACTGGCCCAGATTGAAAGAAACCAAGGTGGCATTCTCAGGTAAGTGTTGAGCTGCTAACCACAAGGTAGAGAGTTCAAACCCACCAGCTGCTCTGGGGGAGAAAGATGAGGCTGTGTGTCCTATAAAGAATTTGCTGAATCAGAGTCAGCTGGAGGGCTGTGGGTGTGACCTGGGTGTGTAATCTTTACTACTGCAGGTCACAAGATGGGGTGGTCTGCTCCCAGAAAGAGATAGCCTCGGTGGGATCAGGTCTCAGGCATCATCAGAACAAAATATCATATCATTGTGAATGAGGGGGAGTGAGGGGTGGGGACCCAAAGCCCATTTGTAGGCAACTGGACATCCCCTTGCAGAAGGGACCTGGGGAGGAGATAAGCCAGTCAGGGTGCAGTGTAGCAATGATGAAAAATACAACTTTCCTCTAGTTCCTAAATGCTCCCTCCCCACCCACTATCATGATCCCAATTCTACCTTACAAATCCAGCTAGACCAGAGGATATACACTGGTACAGATAGGAACTGGAAACACAGGGAATCCAGGACAGATGATCCCTTCAGGACCAGTGATGAGAGTGGTGATACCGGGAGGTTGGAGGGAAGGCAGGGTGGAAAGGGGGAACTGATTACAAGGATCTACATATAACCTCCTCCCTGGGGGACAGACAACAGAAAAGTGAGTGAAGGGAGATGTCATCAGACAGTGTAAGACATGACAAAATAATAATTTATAAATTATCAAGGGTTCATGAGCGAGGTAGGGGCGCAGGAGAGGGAAGGGGAAAAAGAGGAGCTGATACCCAGGGTTCATGTAGAAAGCAAATGTTTTGAGAATGATGATGGCAACCAATGTACAAATGTGCTTGACACAAGGATGGATGTGTTAAGAGTTGTACAAGCTCCCAATAAAATGATTTAAAACAAACAAACAAAGAGAGTTAGCCTCAGGTCGCTGTGAGTCAGAATCAACGATAGGGCAGTGAGTTTGATGTTTTCCACAGGTAAGGTGACATGGTGGCACTGTGGGTTAGGCATCGGTATGCCTGCTACCATGAAGCAGTCTGGGAAACCTGCTACAGAGTTCGAGGTGTGAGTCAGGGCCGCCAACGGCAGTGGGCAAGAAGACCGAGTGAGTGCCTATCAATGTTTACATGCTGGTGTGTAGCATCTCGTGGGGTTCTGGGAGAGCTTAGCACTTGGGGAACTGGGTACAAGGAAGTTCTTTGTACTATTGTATAATGGTTTTTGTAAGTCTCAAAATTTTTTAAATTGAAAATTGAGAAAGGAAATTTAAAAAGGTACTGATTCAGTCCTTCTGGCGTGGGTCTCAACACCTGGCATTTCTAGCAAGTTCCCAGGTGATGTTGATGCTGCTGGCCCAGGACCCACCCTTTGAGAAGCTTGTACTATACAAACTGCACCTCTTCCTGTGACCTGCCTAAAAGCTCATACTCATTCACGCATCCAGCCATTCACATGTGGCCTCCTACATACAGACCCTACATACAGGCGTCACTATCCTGTAATAATGACCTGGCCAAGAGTCTTCCCCAACTACCTGTAGGGAAGATGATGCTTTCTGGGGAATGATAGAGCCCTGTGCATAATAGTAAATGCACCTGTTTGGCTCTTCTTTGTTCTGCGTGGCTTTGGGGGTGGGAGCAGCAATCGAACTTTCTCCATATTCCTAAACCTGCTCTTCACCCTCTTCCAAACGGCAGGTGACCGAAGGCCTGGCTCAGAGAGAGGGCCAGGCAGAGGGGGACTCCAACCTTAGCCTCAAGGCCTGGGAGTGTAGGGGTACCCCATCAGCTCAAGGTTTACCCACACCTCCATGGTTCTCAGATGGCTCCCATTTATCCGAGAGCCAAATGCTTAGGCTGTCTGTATACCCTGGAACCGCCCATCAGGCCAGCCATGCTTACCTCCTCTGCCAGTGCCTGGGGAGATGCAGACGTCTAGAAAGTGCGTGAGCCTGAGACAGGAAGACTCCTGACTCCCCTGTGAGCTGCAGGGCTGAGGGGCCTGGTCTTTCACAGGGAAATAGGGCCCTATACAGACTCAGCAACCACTTCTGAGCAACCACTCCTGGCAGCCAAGGAGGATGGCACCAGTATGTCAAGCTACCACGGGCAAAAAAAAAACTGTGTCTTTGACAGTCCAGGACAAAAATGCCTCAGGGCAGTGTCTGGTTTTGAGGGGAAGGGTCGCTAAGCCATGGGGCCCAGAGGAGCTGGAAGAGAGGCAGCAGTTGGTGCTCAGACAGACAGAAACCAGAGAAGCAGTGGCAAGGAGACAAGTCCTGGCTGTAGCTATGAGGGGGCAGGGGGCAGACCCCTCCAGGCACCGGCCTGCATACAACTAGATCTCACTCCCCAAACACCCAGCTCCTGGTCCATCCAGCACGGGCGGGGATTATATGGACGCCTCCTTTTCCCTAGCCCCAGCACACTAGGTCACAGGCTAGCCTCAAGCAGGCTTGTTATCTTCTTTATATTGAGGCTGTTGAGGAAATGCTGGCTTCTACTGTCATAAACAAACTCTCCCTGGCCCAATAAAATGAGAATTCAGGAGACACAGCAGCACACTTGGTCCTGAAGATTCTGTCAAGAGTGCTCAGGTGTTTGTTACAGGGGTGCATGTGTGCACACACACGCCCTCCTTGGGAACATTCCTTCCAGCATGTCACCATTGCTGGATT